TATTACTCTAAAGATTTCTAGCAAAATTAAAAAAATTTCATAATAAAGCTTATAGAATATGTTTCAAATAAAATATTATATATATAAAATATATCCTATATTATTTATAATTTTTAATTTTATTTAAAAAATTATAAAAACTTTTTAAAATTCCAGACAAATTTGCCTGGAATATGGTTTAAGAGATATATGTTATCTAAATACTGTCTTAAGATTTTTTAGTAAATTTTGATTAATATAATAGATACAGTATAAAGATTTAGTAGTTTCATATACTTGCCGAAATGCACTATCTATTGCTAGATTTGCATCTGTAATAAACACTAGTAGCTTTGTGCTAGTTGCTTTTTTGGTATATTGAAGAATCTACTTATACAAATCAACAGTTTTATCAGATACTAATGCCTATGCTACTAACTGGAATCTGGTATTATTGTCAACAATAAGAAACAAATTAAGTAGTATTTGATACTGATTTGTTTTAGCCGTGTTATTATTGAAAACAATGTTATAATACTCAAGCAAAAAAATACTTGAGCAGGGGTTATCTAAAAAAGTCTAATAAAATAATTATCAGCATCTAACTCAAATTCTACTATCTAACCCAAATTTTACTATTCAACCCAATTCATCAGATCACTTGTTATTAAGAAATAAAAAAAAACATGAAGTATCTATAATTTCAAGATCTTGAGATTTGGTTTTAAAGTATTGAATAGCATTTGCAAAGTCTTTGTTTAAAAAAATTATATCTGGATACTTGGCTTTTAATAATTAATGCTGAATGGTAATTAAAAGATTTTTATTTTTAGTATAGAACTCAATTTTTTTTATAGTATCTTTTCCAATTAACCGAAATTTAGAGCTATATTTATACATTGTTGAGTAAAGCTTATGATTATGAATATTAACAAATATCGTAACTGTGATACAAGTAGCACCTTTAGAAAGACTTAAATTTATATTCTATCTACAATCTTGATATTTGGACCACCATTCATGGTAAGTATTAATATTAATACTCTTTTTTGAATTATATGTTCTTCTAAATTCACATCCAAAGGCTCTATATTTTATTATACTGTTATTATTACATTCAACTCTAATCTTAATAATTGCAAATCCAAACTATCAGCTATATACTTCAAAAAAGAAATCTATATCGTTCCAATTTTAAAACATATAACCAACACTTAATAATGAAAAATCATAGAATTTATTTAAAAAATAGTTATTTTAGAATATATAATATATATTTGTATAAACCAATTCTTTGGTTCAAATTTATAATGAAAACTAGCCTAAGCCAATCTTTTATTATTAATTTTTACTAAAAACTAGACCAACCTTATATAAAACATAATCTAAATTCTATACTTGCTATCATTATCACTATTATTAACAAAATCATCAATTTTTACATTAATACTTTTATCTTCAATATTAATATTTTCATTTTCAACACCAATATTATTAATAATAACATCTTCACTTTTAACACCAACATCTTCAATAATAATATTTTTATTTTTAACACCAATATTATCAATACCAATAAAATTATTACTAGTCATATTAATATATTTTTATTTCTAATTTGAAAGATTAATAACTATCAAAAAACTATTATAGACTATGTATAATATGAAATATAAAGTCTGAGTATGGTAAGTAAAAAAGATAGAGTTTTGAAAAAATTTTCATATTTACTTAATTAGTGGCTTTGCTACACCTATATCATAACAAATATCATCATAATAACTTCATAAACATATATACATATATGTTCCAATTTTTAATATTATATAACACCAATATCAAATTTTTAGAACTACTACCAGAGTTCATATTACACAGTATAACTTATAAGCAGACTTTTATCTGATTGGCTAATTAAATCGATTGCTTAGAGAAAATGAAATATTCACTAACAAAAAAATCATTATAAAAGCTATTTCTAATATAAATATTTACTGATAAAAATAATCTAAAATAATCCAAACCTTGAAAAACTTAATAGTGAATATTAAGAGCTAGAAATAGCTTTCATGCTAATTTTTTTTGTTAGTAAAACATTGCATTTTTAAAAAGTACTTTAAAGTGTATAAATAAGTTACCCAGGTAATTGATTTAATGAGCCAATTAGGCTTATGACAGTACAATATAAATCTTGTTACACAATATTTTGTAATATAAACCCATGATAAAAAAATTTGTTGTGGGGTATAACAAGAATATATATTTATTCAATTTTAAATATGTGACTTATATTTTTTAATTTTTTTTTTTTTTTTTTTTTTAAGGTGAGGCCTTGCTCATATCTTTATTGGTAATTTATACAAGTAGTTACATAG